CAGAGTAGTCTCCTTATTTCTAATTGTTAGATCATCCCTTTTTAACTCCAGCAAAGATGACTTGCAGATTAAACCCCTTGGGGGTCAAGGCAGTTGTTCTGTTTGTACAGCAATTAGCACAGCAGGATCCCAGGCCACAAATGGCCTCCAAGACTACGTCTGTACTGTCTGTTAGCTCAAACCTCAATCCTCCTGCAAGCCAAACTTCCCAGCTCTCAACACGCCTACACACAGAGGTTTTTACTCTGGCCTAGCCAGGAACACAAAGTGAGCTCACACCTCGTGTAGAGACCAGCTCAGGCTTGAGCTGTGCTCTACGAGCGGCACAGATGGAGCAGCTCTGAGCCCTTCCCTCTAACAGGGTCACCCTGAGAGGCTGCCATGGACAGAGCTGCAGCTGCAGTCCTGATGCTCTACAGACTCTGCAAACATCTTAACTAGAACAGCAAAGATGAAGTGAAGTCACAGATCTCAATCCCACCTCTACAGCTCCCGGGAAGTCTTGCAGAAAGGAAGGTGTATTTGTGAGATCCCACTCAGAGCAGCAGAGCACAGGCTGCTTGCATTGTTTCAGCTCGCAAAGCAAGAACCTTTGTCTTGGGTGGAAGCAAAACAGTAGCTCAAAGAATCCAATGGACCACATGGGCTTTCAGATGGGTTTTCTCTGCAAACCCCATCTGACAATACAAGTGAAGCAGGGCAAACAGCACTAAAGCAAGCCTTCACTGTGGAGGAATGAGACAACAGCTCAATAGCGTGATCCTGATTATGCCACATTATGGTCTTCCAAGACCAGCCAACTTTAATCTAGTACAAAGGTCTAATGAGAGTCAAAGAAAAATCAAAGTTAGACAAGCAACAAGGGTCACAATTTTAACAATGTGGCTAATTTAACCAGAAGTATAAAGAAATCCCCAGCACTTAAGAGCAAAAGCTCTACAAGAAACCATGCAACTCAAATGGAAGAGACTGGCTGAAGTCTTTGACCTGTCTTACCTGACATCCAGCTGGAATAGCACTGAGTATCCTCCTTTCCATGAGGATCATGCTGCCCCAACCAGCATCTGAGCTCATCAGCCCTTTTCCAAGCAGTCCTAGCATGTTCCCTGCCACTCCCAGTTTCCAATTCCCCACATATTTAGTTTTCATATTTCACATGATATATTTTGCCTGGGGCACAGCAGATCACTTACCCTTCTCCTATTAGCTCTCTGTTTAATTACAGTTTAATGTGAATTGATTTTTACATTAATGAGTCTGTAAAGAAGATTGATTTTCTTCAAGAGACTTTTCTGCTCAGTTTGGCAGCAGAGTAGTCCTATTGATTTGCCTTCTCCAGTAAATACACTGCAGTGTCACTGCATCTTCTTGTGAATCAGCTAATCCTATTTCACACTCTTTTGCTCCAAAAATCCCTATTCTGAGTTCCTTGTTATCTGTGCTTATTCAGACCAAGACGATGGGGCCAAAGCATCTCAAACAGCTCTGCCTGTTGCTAACACACAGCTGACTGCTGTGGGTCACTGTCCCCTTTGTTCCTAAATGGCTGAAGGCTTAAAAGACATACAGTGAAAGAAATGAAAGTTATTTTTAAGTGTTTAATCTGTTAACTTCCTTAATTCCCGGCCAGCTAAGGATGTGGCAGAGCGTGGTCTGTTTACCAGGCTTGCTCTAGAGGTCTGGTTAGCACTCTCCACTGAGCCCTACAGCTGCCCAGCAGCCTATGGCAGAGGATGCTGACTGAATCAGGCCTGGAGCCAGGGCAGAGGACAAGGATTCACCTCCATCATCTGTCCAAATGCCCCAAAACCCCTCCAGGGTGCAGTTACTCATGTGCAGGTAGATGCAGCAGCAGTGAAGACAGACCCCAGAGTAAGGGCTGAGCTTGTGGCTGCTCAGGGATTTGTAGGAAACCCATAATAACAGACCAGAGCAGGGCTGATTGCAGCTCCTTTAACCTGGCAGGCCTAAGAGTTCTTCCATGCAAATCAGTGAGGAAGCTGGATATAAACCGACTAAGTTCTGCAAATAAATGGTTTCTTCCATTATCCCTTTCCCCACCAGATCAGGTAACACGGTCTCCTCGAGAGTCTTCAGAGTTAACACACTGTAGCTGCACTGGGATGGGAAATCCTCAGCCAAGAGCATGTCAGTGAAAACATCCTGCCATCAACTCCCAAATGTCTAAGTCTAGGAACTGTAACTAAATTACAAATGCTGTGGGAATTTCAGGCAAGGTTCTCCTCTCAGCTATTCCGATGTAATTTCGGAATGAATCCAGATTCGGGCTCTCCCCCTCCCAGCTGAATTTCCTGGCTTTTGTTTGCACTAACAGATGTTTGCATTTAATGTCTGTCTTTATTTGGTAACCCGTACATAGATTATTTTTCCCTTCTGTTCTATTAAAAGCCTTATCAAGTCCCTTATGTTTGCTCTTGCTGAAATGAACGACTTTGGCAATATTTTCAACATGCAAGGCAAACAAACTGATTCTTCGAGGAATAACTGCACCAAACTCCATGGCAGTATATCAGGACAAAGCATTTTTGATACATATGTTATGTCTGCATCCATCTGCAGCCTGGGACATCCAAAGGCTTGCAGAAAGCTTTGAGAATTCTCTCTTCAACAGATTCTCACATATATACTTAACTGGCCTTTGGTCCTCACACGTGTGGGGTCAGGGAAGTTCTGGGTGATGGAGACAGGTACAGAAAACCCAAAAGCAGGGAATGCAAAGCAAAGTTCATTTTTAAAAAAAAATTTTAAAAGCAAAACCCAAAAAAACCTCCACACAACCACCAAACTTTATGGGAAATCTGAGTTGGGCAGTATTGCTTCCCCCAGCCCTAAAGGAGAAAAAGTGTTTTCTCCTGTTTAGGAAGAGTAGGAGATGAAATAACTCATTCAAAAGAGATGTTTTGAGTGACAAATATACAAGCCTTGCTTTTATAATACATTAACAGTCCTTTGGAAATACTTAACCACATGCAATATACAAAACCTACTTCAGAGGTTTGTGAGGTAAACACACTTCACACATTTCTAAACACTGGGGAAAAAAAAAAGGAAATGTATTTATTTTTCTTTAGCATTAAGAATACACTGTAACACTATACACTTAAACATAAACCAGTTTCTCAGTACACAAGTCTTCATTATGAGTCTTCACCCTGGGTTTGGTTTGGCAGGCACCCCAATTATTACTTCACAGATTGGAAGGCCAGAAGAAACCAGTATGACCATATAATCTGATTCCTTACATCACACAAGGCTGAACAACTTTACCCACCGATTTGCCTATCAAGCCCATTAACCTGGGGTTGAACTAAAGGCCCATCTTTTAGGAAGCCAACCAATTGATTACAGACTCCCAAAGATGGAGAAAACTTCACTTCCTCAGCAAATGATTCCAATGTGAGTCAGCAACATCGATTGGAGCAGGTACTTTAAAACATCTTTCAGGTTATTTTTGTCTCTGATAAAAATTAAAAGGAAATGCAAGGGGGAAAAGTGGCACTCTCTAATACAAGCTAAACAAAGAGACCCTTCTTGCAGAAGTATGACAGCAGTATTACGAATCCTGCTATCAGAGTTATTTATGTGCAGCAGCTGAGGAGAGCAATTCAGATTTCTGGAAAGTGATACTAAGCAGGTTTGTTCAGAATACCATCCTTTTATCATTTGGCTTTGTAGCTTCTCCTTCCTTCTGCACCACTCTGAAATTTCAGATGAGCCGTAAATCTACTGCCTTCCAGAAGCCATTATTCCCCCTTTCCAAACTGCTCATTTCATTTCAGGAATGAAAAATCCAAAGCTCCAGCAATTTGGGTCTTTGCCAATGGCTAAATTAATAGCAAAAATAACAACAGGGGCTTGTGGAACTCAGAGCATTTATAGACTTCATGAGAAAGAGAAGCCGATCTGGGGGGCCTAAAACTATATCCCTGGATGGCAAATTCTATGCAAGCTTTCCATCCATAAATCAGATTTCTGGAGGTCTTTTTCAAACTCTGGTGCACAGCACACGTGTGGCAGCACAGTAAGTCAGCAGATAAAGACTGCCTCAGAGTTAAGTCAGAGCCTTTTGAGCAAGAGAGGCCAATCAGCTGGTGGTGTGGTCACAGGCATTTTCCACCACAAGAAGCACCAAATCCATGGAGAGCCCAGATACCTGCCTGCAGGTGTACTGCAGGGCCATGCAGGCTGGAAGCCACCACCTGAACTGCTCCAGCATTTTGCTGGAGTCCCTATTAGCCACAAAGAATTCCCAGGAATCTGGGAGGTATCATGCATACCTCAGCAAAATTCCTTCTCAGTGCAAGTACAAGCAGACACATGCAAGAAATCATTTTAGAAGTCCACACTCTTTAGATACTAAATAGTTTGATATATTAATATTTTATTCCCTTGAGCAGCACCATCAACCCAAGATCCTTGGGGGCCAATACAAAAGAGTTCTCACGTGTCTGATGCTTCTGTGGTCATCTGAACTACCAAAGTTCTGCAGACCATGCTTTACAATCACTGCTCTCTCAAAAGAAAGTGTTAAAAAGAAGTTGAAAAAAATAATAAAAACAGGTCTGGAATGAGTTCCCTAAAAGATTAAGATATGAATAGTCTCTGGCTTTAAGAGGAAAGAAATGATCAGAACAGTGCCAAGGAAAAAAAGAACAATAAAGAAAATGTAAAATTTAATAGCACAAGTATGACCTAAAGGTTGAAACCCAAAGGCAGAGGAGAAAAAAAGTTTTATTCAACCTGTGGAATTTACTGTCATAAGTTACCACTGATCATAAGCATAACGCACAACCTCACACAAATCACACTCCAGATGATGTTTCTTCATTAAGGTTAATTAATTCTTAAATTTCTTAAGAAGCCAAAACCCAAAATCTAGAGTCAGCAGGAATGAGTGTGACACCCACGAAACCCTCCCCAGAAGCAGCTAAACCCTCCCCAGAGAGAGCCCAGAGCCAGAGGAGGGGACAGTGACTTACAGGTGGAGGGAGCGGACACTGGAAGCAGCAGATCCCAGCGAGGGAATGGCACTCAGCTCGTTGTGGTCCAGCCTCCTGCAAGAAACAGAAATTGAGGGTTGAAGGCAAGCAGCCTGTGCCCAGGAATACAGGAGGAGAAGGGGAGGGCTGGCACTGAGGCAGAAGCCTCCATCTAAAGGGGTTTTTCTCTGATGGCCACACCTTACTCTTTAATACACCACTGGTTCCACCATATGTCCTTTACAAGCTTTTTCCCCCACTGCCATCCACTTTAGGCACTGCCTAAGTGCCAGGCAGGAAAGCATTGTGCCACAGCCCTCTCGTGGCCTGTGTTACAAATTTGCCTGAGTGAGAAATAAACAAGCTGTGCTTTCACAATACATTAACAGTCCTTTGGAAGTACTTAACCACATGCAACATACAAAACCTACTTCAGAGGTTTCTGCTTCACAGCCCTCCACTAGCCAGTGTTTCCAGAGTCAAACCTGAGGCAGGAGGATTTTGCACCTCAAGGCCATGTGTGCCATGGCTCAGGACAGGAATTTAACCCTTCCCCAAGCAGCAGGCCCTGCTCACACCAGGTCAGGGCCTGGGGGCACAACCTCATGGCATCCTCTCCACAGCAGGCCCAGCTCTGGAAATCCCAGAGGGATTTCCTCACAAAGGCAGCAGAAATGTCACCAGGCACAGCAATGTCACCAGGCACAGGGCCCTGCTCCAGGCAGCTGGGGAGCACACAGAGTGCCTGGTTAATGGCACCACAGGCCATCAGCTCCTGCAGCCACCAGCACAGACACGTCCCCTGCCAGGGCCCAATGCTTCAAGTGCTTTTCTGACTGAAAACAGATCCTTGCCATGTGACTGGCTCTTCCTTGCTTTAAAGAGCCCTTGTTTGTACGGTGAATTAGTCAATTAATTACTGTAACAGTCGCTCGTCTGGCTGCTTGAAAATTACCTAATTTCTCAGTCTCCTTGCCCACTCCCCCCTGTCGCCGCAGTGATCACAGCCAAGCCCTGGCCAGGCTCCCTAGGACCCCCAAAGCCCCCCTGCTCCCACCACTGCTGCTCCAGGCACAGCCTCTGGGTCACCGTGGGCCTTCCAAGTGCTCCCCTTCTGCAGAGGATCCTGGCAAGGTCACAATTTGGGTGCAAAGCACAGCATCCCAGAGCCACACAGCTGAGGGTTGCTAAGTCACAGGCATGAGTAGGGGCAAACTTAAATTATGATGGCTTTTTTTTTTTCCCCCTCTTCTTTCCTTTTAACACTATTTTTGGCAGGTGGGAGAGGGCAGTGGCACATTTATCCCAGAACTTCCCTTTTGGCTCCTCTGAGAGGAGGCAAGATATTTGATTTCACGAGGAGTTCCAAGCACTGCTGGGATAAAAGCTTTCCTCTGCCTCTGACATTATACCCATGCCTTAAAATGTAAGGGAAAAAAGCCAGATGCATTGCAATTCAGCAAGGAGCTCCACTCTGCAACTAAAAGCTCACTGTTGCTCATATTACAACATGGTCTAGAGCTTCCAAAGGTACAAAGCAAGCTGGAAAGAGCATTAAAATGCTTATTTGAGCATGTTTTCATTAACATTTAACTAAGCATCTTGTGGAGAAGAAGGAGCCTGGGTCAGCTCTGGTTAAGCAGCTCTGACACCAACCAGCATCTAACAACTGGTCAAACCCTCCTCTGACATAAGTGTGATATTCATATATCAGCCTCCTGTCATGTCAGGAATCAGTCAGAAGTGGTTCTCCCACCTCATTTTCTCTCTTGGCTCACAGGCACCATTTGCTGACACAGAGGAGACAGCCAAGCCCTGTATTTGCCTGGGATTTCCCACTCATCTTCCCCTTTTCCCTATGTAAAGGAATTGAAAAATAAAAAATAAAAAAGGAGGGGGAAAAAAACCCTCAAAACAGACCAGCTGGGCTCAACAAGTTTAAAAACTTTCAGTCTCCTTCCCCAGCCCTCACCTTTGACGACACAAACGCTCTGGATGCTGAGGCAGAGGAGGAGGGGGGGCCACCCATATAAAATATTTACAGTCCAGTTGCCAGGCTGGTGTCAAGCTGAAATGGAGCCTGCTCAAAAATAGCACAGCTCTCCAGAGCTTTCAGTGAAAGGCACTTTAGAAAAGAAAAGGTGAGTTGTTTGGAGTGGAATTTTAGCGTAGTTACTACTTTCTTTGCTACCAATGGCCCTGGAAAGCCTGAGAGCCATGAAACCATCCGTTTGGTGGATTCCATGATCCATGTGACCTGAGGAAACCCCAGAAACCCCACAGCAGCACCCTCCATCCATCCATCCATCCATCCATGGAATGAGAATGGATTGACACCAGGGGATTGTCACCAGATGAAGGCACCAAAAGGGATGAGGGAAAGATCAAGTGTCCTGAAGGAAAGTAATGTCCCAGTCCAGCCCCTAGCCTGAGCCTCAAGCACTTATTTCAGAGCAAGTGGGATCACAGGGTTTTGAATCACTTTGAGCCATTAAATCTCATCCTACACAGACTTAAAACTTTTCTAAAAGCCTCTCATAAATGCCACCAAAACAAAGCACACAAACAACTGCCTAAACTCAGGGAGAAGTGTAGGGTAAATTCTGCTCTGACTTTATCAGAATCTCAATAAAGCAAAGCAGAGCATCGAAGATAAGGGATGAAGTTTAAATCTTTTGGTCTGCAGATATTTTCTTTAAATCAAGGGAAAACAAAATGTTTTCAAAATATACCACACTAATTACTCACATGGAGAGACACACACAGAGTTTTAAGCCTTGTGTAATGCTCAGGAACCACAGACAGCATGTTTGAAGCATCATGGGAGGTTCAGGTCTTATCAATGCATCTATTATTTGGGGCAATCTCTTTCCCTGAGGGTGCCTTGGTTTGCCCAGCACAGCATGCACAGAGAAACACTGACTTGCTCTCGAGACGTGCCACAGCATGATGCTTATTTCATGAATGTTTGTCAAGTGCTTAAAAAAAAAACCCGCAGAAAGAAGATGCTCTGGCAATATAGATGTGGTTCTCCTTGTGAAATGAAGTTTATTTCAGTGGTCTGTGGTTTAGCTGTTATTCAAAAGCAACCAAGATTAGTAGATAGGGCTTTTAATAGAGCTTGTCCCTCAGACTTCCCAGAGCCTGCCTTCCAGGCTCTGCTCCAGACCTCTGCCTCCCCTCCAGCCTCCCATTTCTGACTGCTCCCTTTCCCTCCTACCCACTCTTCTGCTCTCTCCCTATTCCCTAACCCTGTCTTTCTGACACAGCAAGCAGCTCTTATCTACCCATTACATTGTGGCTGCATCACTTATCTCCCCAGAAACCCTGACACCTTTTTACAGCATGTAACTGTTCAGTGCAGGCCCTGTCCTGCTCTTACACACATGCACAGTACTTTGTTCAAGGGAATTCCCTACCTGGGGAATCAGAAGCCACACACATTTCTAACCCCATGCTCCCTGAAGTCACACACCTTCAGGCACTCCCATGAATAAAAGCCATTGCTAAGCCACAGTCATGTTAGGATAATTCTAAAGTCTCACAGAATCAGGGCTTCAATTCTCTTCTTTAAGCACAGAGCAATTTAAGGCTTTCCACAGTGAAAAGAGAAGTTGAGGAAACAGATCCTGCAGGCAGTGTTCTGCCGACCCACATCACTTTCTCTCTAAAGATCACACAGAGCTGATTTCAGAGCACTGCAGTCACTTCTGACAGACATTCCTCACTTACTCATGATTCCCAGCAAGTCCCTACTGTTCATGTAAACAGAGGAGCCAGGGGCAATCAGGCCACGAGAGGGATGCTACATTAATCTCCACAGTCCAATCCAGCAGGCATCAGTCAGAGAAAATTCCACTTTTTGCCTATTTAAGAATCACAGGATCTGGCCCCTCCTTGAGTCCCAGAACCAACACTTAATGAAAACAGACAGAGGACAAGAGAAAATGCTTGATAGAGCACAGTATTGTTTCTGAAAGGAAATGTTTTTTCAGTTTCCCATGAGGCACCAGTAGCTCTTCAAACAGAGCCCAAACCTCAAGTATGCCAGCGATTCACCAGGCAAACACGAGCTCATTACCTCAGCCCACCGCCTGCAATCTAGTCACTTTTGGTTTTTAAACCCCAAAATCACAGCTCCAGGAATCGCTGTGAAGGGCTGACAGTGCAGCCCCTCTCTGAGTGAAACTGCTGAGCCTTCACAGAGACCAGGAGCTTGGAAAATCTGCAGTTCAGTGAAATAGGTTTGTTTTACCAGCAAGGAGGGTCTGGCACAGCCACTCAGACCTTCACCAGCTCCTCTGTTCCCCACCAGAGCAGAAGACAGCTCTGCTGGTTTAGCCTCTTCTAGCAAGACTTCCAACAGAGTTTGTTCTGGTTCCAAAAGCAGCACAAATGTCTGAGAGAGGAGGAGGCACAGTTAAGTGCTTTGTTATCCACTACACTACACCTTTGTTTCCTGGGAGATTTGGGCTAGGTTGGCATCAGGTATCACAATCCAGGCTGCTGTGCCTTGCTTCAGGGTTATGCTTTCAGCAAGGAGCTTTGTGTGTGTGTTCAGGTGTGCTAAACTGCTGCCTCCAAGCATTGCACAACACCGAGGGAGGAAAACTCCAGTGATTTCCAATAACAGCTCTGCTGTTTTAATTGGGTTGTTGTGTTCTGCTCATTGATTAGTTTAAAAAAAACAGCCCAGATACAATACAGAGGGGAAAAAACTCCACACCAAGTCAGACCTGCTCATTCAACTTAGCTAAAGGAGGTACTGTCTTAGGAAACGAGATATAATTTCCTCAGAGCCCACAAGCAGCCCTGGCAAAATACAATTAAAACCTTTGAAGGAATACTTACACTTCCTGCAGGTTCGACAGCTCTGCAAAGACAGAAGGATCAATCTCTGCCAACTTGTTGTAGCTCAGGTTTCTGTTAAAATAAAAGACAGTGGGATCAGCAAAATACACTCACCCTGCTCAGCAAAACAGTCATCTTAATTATTCTGGATTGCACTGGGAAGGCTTGGGGTTTGTTCTTTTTTAAAAGAGAACTTAAAACAGCACTTTTCTGCTGAATACATGAGTGTATTCACTAATACATTAGTTACACGACAAAAATCTTATCTAGCTCTCCCCAGTCTTCTTCCTCTTTTGCATTAGATTAGTGTGGTTTTAATTTGTCTTCATATTACACAATTGCATTTATTATTCTACTATTGATTATTTCCAACCACAAAACTAATCACAGATGAATAGCATGTTTCCTGACAAATTAAAGTCTGAACTGAAACAATCAACAAACCTTCCACTAAATATTTTATAGCTATATTCACACAGGGTATTTTTTATACCACTGTGTGTTACACACAAAATACACATATTTTGTGTATTTTACACGTAACATTTTACACATGTTTACACTTACTATGTGTAAACATATTTTTTCTAATATTTTTTCTACTTGTCTAATATTATTAAAATATTTTTCTACATTTTCTAACAAGATGATATAATTAGTCTATCACTACATGGGTTTTTTTTAATCAGTGAATACAGCTTTCAAGCCACATAGTAGTACACACTTTGCTCCTCAACAATCCCAGCCAACACTTTCCAACTATCCAACAGCCCAAACCTAAACCTAAATCATATTCTAGCACCGATGGATGACAAATGGGTTGTGCTGTATTATCTGAAAGCAGCTGGTGGGAGAGCAGATCTGCCTCACAGGACATCCCTGATTGGAAACACATCCAGAGCTCAACATGCTGCAGGAAGGAACACACTGGAAGGATTGCTAGGGGCGGCAAACAGGCAAAATAATGCAAATTATTATCTTGCCAACTCCAAGAGCTTTGCCATGCTCTGCTGTAGCATCACACAGTTCCCTCCAAGACATGCACCCTCAGCACACCACACAGGACAGGTCAAACCTGCAGCTAGGGACTAACCAGATCAATTAAGCCCAAGTGACTAATGATGCAGAAAGTAACAAGTGCTTTAATTACCATTCTGTATGCAGTGCTGGCATGTTTCTGTGAGTGTGTAATCTAAAGAGGGAGGAGGCAAATTGATGGGTGGTAGCAGAAAAGCAACCACAGTAAATTGTAAGGAAATTGTGAGGGGATCTTCTTTAATTTTACTTTGCTCCACACCCTGCTCTGGGATATTACCCTGGGTAAAATTCAACCCTCCTGCCTCCTCTGCAGGGAGGTTACACCCTCTTACTGCACCTCTGAACACAACCCAAAAGATTCATGGCCTGATTTTAGATAAGCCCTCAAACATGGAGCTGCTTATTCAAGCCACCAAGCCAGTCTGACTAGAAAACTGGCCAATCTTCCCTGGTTTGGGTTTTTCTTTGCTTTGTGCCCACAGAAAGCAAGCAGGTCTGGAACCCAAACAGGATCTAAGTCACCGAGGCACCTACTGAACTTTTACCAATGCTCCATGGCCCAGGAGCTGAGGCACACACAGAGAAAAGGCAGCTGACAGAAGAGCACAGATGGAAAATATCTCCTGAAGTGCTCACACTAACACACTGCACTCTGTGGCACTGCAGAGAGAAACCCAGGCTCACAGCAGCCTTACAAATACCAAGACTTGAAAGACTACAAAGCTTACCAACTTTGCAGGAAGTGATAAACACCTCTTTTAAGGTAAAAAGCAGATATTGATCACCTGGCCCCTTGTAATGCATTTATGGGAAGTCCTCAAAGCGTTCCCCTGCACAAGGAATCATTTGATGGCTCTCACATCACGCCATTCCCCATCATTTCAGTTCTGAAAGCAGCTCCTTGCATCTTGCCCAAAATGTTCAAATTTTTTTGCCAATACCTGCTGTGGAAGAATGCTCCACAAATCAACAACACAGGCTGGCTCTTAACAGAGCCTAGAACTGAAGCTATACAGGAGTGTAAAACCTAACCAAGCATCTCAGTTTAAAATATGCTGTCCTGTAAGCCCCTACTGTCTTTTAAAACACTCAAGAGACCTTTAAATCAATACCAGCCTACAGCAGATATCCATTTCACTATGAACTCAAAGGCATTCATCTAAATAAAAGTCAAACTGCAGTTTAAACTCAGAGTGTGTTTGAAAGCCAAGTCCATATTCATAGCACAATTACGAATTAAAGTGCAATTTGCCCACAGATTACATTACTACTTTTTTTTTTTTTAACCACACAGTAAGATCAGGTTGGAGCTTGTCCCTGCCTGATCTACAGGCAAAAAGAGAAAATACAACAGCTAACGTCCTACAGGCTCAGCACAATAAAGCTGACACAGAAATACAAGTGACAAACTAAAAGGGGGAAATACAATCAGACATGATGGTGCGTGAATCCATCTGTTTTCATGTATTTCTATGCCTTTTACTACAGCCAGATTTCACATTTTCAGGCAATGTATTTCTCCTCAACACATTCCTCTGCAATAGGCTAAGAGGCTGTTTTATGAAGCAAGAAACAAGAACACATGCACCAGAACTGATCCTCCCTGCACTTGCCAGAGGGACCAGATCCCTGGCTTAGCCTGTGCTCAAGCACTGAGTGATGCTGACATGAACCTCCAAAGTTCACAAGTGAAAAAACAAGATCTCCATAAATTAAAGGATTTCATGGCCACAGTTTAACATCACCCAAAGCAACTTCCTGATTATTGCTGCTGCCATTCAGGACATTTGAACATCAAAGTCACTGCACAAGTAGCTGGCTCTTCAGAGAGCACAGACAGATTTTGCTGCAGCAGCAACAGAAAGACTTCCCAAAAGCTGCTGCAGAAATGCAGCTGAACTCCATCCTCTTGAACACCAAAGTCTTCGGTTCCCCCCACACTACTCACCCCAACCGCCAAGCATCCTCACTAAATGTACACTACACTGCTCAAAAATCAGTAAGGAAATGAAAGCTAGAAATACAGTCAGTACCAAATAAACAGGAGACCTGAAATTACATAGATATGCCAAAATAAATTTTACTGAGTTTCTGGCACTAGCTGTATTTTAACTTATATTGAAATACCCAAGAATTTCTAGCCTGAAGCATTAGCAATCAAAGGATGTGTTTCCCAGAGCTCTGATCCCTTCACTAGGCTGTATGTGGCATGCCAGTCACAGCATTTAAGTGAGAGAAAATTAACATGTTTCAATAGATAGATCTTTGGGACTGGGAGTCAGGAAACCTCTGTCTATTCCTGGCTCTCTTAATCTCCTGCTGTGTGACCGGGTCATGTCACATCACCTCTCCAGAGCTTTTGTTTCCACAGTCACCCTTTGTCTGTCTTGTCTATTTAGACTGTAAATAAAATTGAGGTAGGTATTGTCTTGGTTTGCCTGATGCTGATGAAATGAGGCCTCAATCGTGGCTGGGCTCCAGTAATGCAAATAAAGAAGGGAGCTCAAAACTTGCGGTCGTGGGGCTCTCCCACCCCTAAGTGTGGGTCCCAGACGTTCATCACTGAAGCACTGCAGGGCTTTAATGTCCCCACCAGGTTGGCCTCTCTGAGCTGAGCACAGCAGCAGTGGAGGCCGACTGGAGATGCCAAGCCCAGGGACACAGCTGTCCCATCACTGAAAGCTGGCACTTTTGCTGTTCCTCTGTAGCAGAGAATGCATTCCTTCTCGAGGAGCCCTTGGGATGATGCCACAGTTGCCCAATGAATCATCAAACAAATGTTTCTGCCAGTTTTCCAAAATGTCTTCCTCAAAGAAAGAGAGACATCAACTCCCAACACCAAAACCTTGTCCTTCCCCAAATCAGCACCTGCCCAGCCCTCTGAGGTATCTCTCACCCTGAGCACCTCTTCAAAGCCAGTTTATAAAGCATCACCTACAGTGTTTTATGCCAGTTCCAAGAGCCCATGGCTTTGGTGCATATTCTGCCCACTTCCTGGCACCTACATTTGAGGTTAGCTGAGCCCAAAAGTGGGGCTGCCCACAAACTGCCCAGTGCCCTGCTTCTCTGCATGGGTATGTTAAATTACTCTTGGAAGGATATTCTGATCCCTCCAAGGCAACGTGGAGAGAAAACAGAAGTCAACTAAGGTAAATTCAAGAACCTGAGCTGTGAGTTCAGGGAAGCATCCACCAAAGGTTAGAAGTTCTACAGCTAGCAGAGGAGAAAGAGCAGAAGCACCAACCTGAGTGGCCCCTAACACTCAGACGGGTTTTTTTCATATTAGCTTCTATTGAAAAAGAAAAGCTGGTAAATGTTTTTAAACTTTACTCTGATTTACTGACATGAAAAGTTCTCTACATATTATTTATCCATTACAAACTTCAACTCTTCCTTGTATTGGCTAATCCAACAATGTAGGGTTTTCCCCTCCTGTCACTAAGATGCCCATGATGAGGAACTGAGAGCCTGTTAAATCAATATGGGAAGGGCCCTGTTCTATCTTTTCAGCCACTGCAGTCTTCAAATAAGAAAGCAGTGTTTGCCTTCAGTTGGCATTGTGGAAGTGGCACTGTGGATCACTGAATTCTGCAGAGACTGAAGTGAAAGTCTTGTTAAATAACTGGGTATGCTCAAACTACCTCCCAAAAGAAGCAATGCTGTCACAGAAAGTCCTGCTTGCCTGTGAGGAGGGGTCAGTCAGTTCTTTCACCTGTGAGAGGCCAACCCTGCCCCCTTGGGCAAGGCGCAGGGTAGAACAGGAGTTTATGTCCAAGTTTTGGCTCTGCTTTGGGACCTTGACCAGTGCAGAGAAAAGCCACTCTGTTGAAAACCAGACAAAGGAACAGAGACATACATGGCTCCTGGTCTCTGTCCACCATGATGATGGCTCAATTCTGTTCTGCAAGGTGAAAGTTTCCAACCCTTACATCAAAACCATTAATCTGTCAGTGCAGAAGATTATGTCAAAAGTGTTTCTGCACCTTTTGATGACAGGCATTGGAGAAAAGGAGGATGGCTCGAAATTCTGTCAC